GAAGTGGGCAGGGGGGGTTTCGAGGGACATGAGAAACAGGGACTGCTGGGAAGCCACACATGGAAGCATTTAGGTTTCCGGAACCCGAGTTCTTGTCCCGACTCCAGCTGCCATTCCTGCATTCCTGCTCACAGGGCTGGCTCACCAGCTCGCTGACTCTGGCATGCACTAATTGCTTCTGTGCATTGCTCCAGGCATTCTTACTTTCTTCTGGCGGAGAGATTTTCTCAGGGCCAAAGGGAAATGGAAATGAGGGAAAGGCAGGGGACCCAGCGCACACAGGAAGCGTAGCAGAGCTCTTGAGGTGAGGGTCTCCCCTGCAGCTGACACCCAGGCACTGAGACCGGCTCCTACACACCTCTGTAACCGAGAAGAAGGAAACTGCATTGAGCAGCACAGGTCTCCTGCTGCTTGGCACCTAAGAAACGTTGCAGACGAGACGACCCATTCAGTCTTTCTAGCTCATCTTATCGTCAGTAACTAATTAGTGATGCTCACCTGTTGCACACAACCACTGTACAACCACCACACAACCACGCACAATTAGCACACAACTACCACATAACCACTGCACAAGCACCACACCACTACTGTACAACCACAGCACAACTACTGCACAACCACCACATAACTACTGCACAACCACCGCACAACCATCGCAAGAGCACCACACAACCACTGCACAACTACTGCACAACCACCACACAACTACTGCACAATTAGCACACAACTACCACACAACCACTGTACAAGCACCGCAACACTACTGCACAACCACAGCACAACTACTGCACAACCACCACACAACTACTGCGCAACCACCGCGCAACCATCGCAAGAGCACCACACAACCACTGCACAATTAGCACACAACCACAGCACAACTACTGCACAACCATCACACAACTACTGCACAATCACTACATAACCACCACACAACCACTGCACAAGCACCGTACCACTGCTGCACAACCACAGCACAACTACTACACAACCACCACACAACTACTGCACAACCACCGCACAACCATCGCGACAGCCACTGGCACAGCTCCACGGAGCACAGCCTCCTTTGAGGACTCTCTCCGGCTGCCCCATCAGGAGCCCATCCCTACGGAGCCAGAGAGATCCAGCCGAGAGTCCTGCTGGATACAGAGGGCTCTGCAGGCCCACGTCCCGCTCAGACCTGGGAAAGTGTGCTGCTCTGAGGGCGACGCCCCCCCAGGGGACTGCACTGCACCAGGACTCCGGGCGGCCCGCCAAGCTCCTGTCCAGAGGGACCGGAGACATCAGACCGGGACGGCAGGGCTGTTTATTGTACTGATCTCCGAATTATTTTAGAAGGCAAAGGCCAAGCATGTTTCAAGTCAGGGCTTAGAAATGAGAAAGATCCAGAGTCCCACAGATCCATCACAACAATAATAACATTCAGTCCGTCGCAAAAATGTTTCAAGCACTGCGTGTCCGGGCACTACGTGTCCCTCCGGACTTTCGGGAATTTATTTTCAATGGTAATTATGACACAGAAGTGGCAGAGCGAGCCTGCCCCCAGTCCGAGCCAGTGAGGTCCAGACCTTTCCAGAACTCTCTCTCTCTCTCCCTGTCCTTCTGTGTCTGAAAGTCTCTCCGCCCTCAGCCGCTGTCAGGAAGGGTGAGCCGGAGAGGCAGGCCTCCCTGATAGAGCAGCGCTCCGACTGGGCGGAGGGAAATGGCCTCCCTCACTCTCCCAGCCACTGCATCCCAGCAACTATCGCTGAACAAACACTGGGGGCAGCTGCCAGGGTCTGGCAAAACATCTGCAGATCACAAGAGCACTGACGCCATATTCGGGCTCACACTGCAGCGCAGGGCAGCCCCAGTGATGAACAGGGCATCCCACACACTGCACCTACCGCTGAGCAAACCTGCTGTCGGCTCCAGGTTCACAGACAGATAGCGTGAGCTCTGGGTACGAGTAGAAACAAACTCTCGTCCTGTCACAACGCTCCAGAAAACGGAACTGCCTCACAACTTTTCAGTCTGCCCCTTGTGCACATTTAAAGTCGCAGTTAGCAGCTGCAGACAGCTGTTTCACCCGAGCTCAGCTGGGCATTGCTGACACTGACCGGCAACATTAGTGTATATGCTGTGAGCGTTAGATGGAACACCATTCCACGCAGATGGGATCAATTTTAGATATTCTGTGTACACCACCACCGGTCAGAGCACCAGTGCGTGCATCAGTGGTCAGGGCCAGCGCTATCACGCTGATTAACCTCAGTGGGGGTGCACCAGCTGTCTGTGGCTGTAACTTTAAATGCGCAACATGCCAGGCTGAGAAGCCTGTTTAGACAGCTCTTTTTCCTGTAGTGTTGAGATTTGTCATTTTCATATTCACTCCCAAAACTCAATTGTAACTGCAGGCTCTTAACACACACCCTAACCTGGAGGGGAGTGCACACTCGGAGAGATCCTCCGGAGCTGCATCCCTGCTTGTCAGTGGGTGTTGCTGTGGGGCCACAAGCTTCCCTGATGATTCCCGCCGGCGGGTTCCCACTGGAGCCCGCGGGGGTCAGCACGCCCACAGCAGTGCGCTACGCTCCGCGCACACTCCAGAGCAGCTTGTGTCTCCTGTTGGGGGCACCACCGAGCGCTCAAGACAGACGTTCAGGAGACCGGGACAAATTCGTCTCCGGAGCGCAGAGCTTTGAAAATTCCCTGGATCCTTTTGCCCGTCCTCTCCTCTTCTTCCTCGCACAGGCCCTGTCCCGGGGGCGGGGGGCGGTCCGGCCCTGCGGTCAGTGTGGAAGGTCACTGTGATCGCCGGCTGTTGGGGAAGGCCAGGTTTATTTAGAAAAACCACCACAGTGTTTATTTTCCCTGCTTGTTCCACTCGTGAGCAGCTCTCAGCTCAAAGCTGCTCCGCTCCGGATGGGAAAGAGCTTCATGGGAATGTAGGAGTGTAAGAGCAAGGAGAGGGACGTCAGGGACTCCGCGCTCAGTGCCAGCTGACCTGGGTTCTCGTTTTCTCATTTAGCTGTCTTTTAAACAGACATCCTGTCGAGAGCAGGAACAGGCTGTGTTGTGAGGAGAGCAGCCTGTGTGTCTGTGCAGGTGTGCGTCTGTGTGTTTGTCTGTGTCAATATGTGCGTTTGTGTGTCCAGTGTGTCAGTATGCATGTATTTCAGTCTTTAGTGTGTGTCAGAGTCCTCCCTCCTGAGCCCCTGGACTCTCTCTCTGAGGTCTGTGACCACACTCAGACACACACTGCGACTAGCCCAGCCACCTGACACACACACTCACGTCACACACACACTCACACACTGTGGATTCAGCACCTGACACACACACACACACTGT